GTGTTTTTTACACTACCATTGAGAAATTTTAACCAAACTGTGTTACAGACTTTTCATTAAGACCCTAAAGAATCATATCAACTTGTGGAAAATGGGCATCCTATGACCCCTTTAAAATTAATCAGTTGTTGAAACTAAAAATAGTTTTTTACTTTTTTTTTTTTTTTTAAGGCAATAGGTTTACATGTTTTTTTAACTAATAACTTTTTACAGTGTACACTTTAAAGCTAAGTTTAGAGTATTGCGTCATTGGCTTAGCAAAATGCTTTCAGCACACACTTTTGAAATGAGTTGTCATATGAGGGATTTTTTGTTTTCCGACATGTAAGTTGCTGCCTACAGTATGTGGAATGTACCAGATCAGTCACCGTTTGGTTCATGTGGCTCTAATTCGCTTCAAAGAACGCTGCCAGTGTAGGCAGTAGCCAGAAAGCCAGGAACTGTGCCATATTGTCATTACAATTGATTTGTGAGAAGCAACAGCAGGAGGAGACACTGCTATTCTTGGAGGCCTGCAGTCAGCCGCGCAGTGTTCTCCTGAGCCCAGCGGCAAGGGACGTGGATTGTGCTGAAAGTGCACAGTGTCATATTTACAAGATGATATGAATGGCTGTTTAAGCATAGTGCCTGCTAATGTCGAGAGGGATTCAAAAAAGATCAGCAGCTTTGACACAGCAGGACGCCATCAGATGCTTTATAACGGCACTGCGCTGCTGTCCAACGCACGGCTGCCTTTATCCACCAGCAAATCGATCCATATATTGAGCCTGCAATATATCAACCATATTTAGGTGAGCTGATACGAGCAATCTGATGTGGGGAACAGTGCCTCCCCCACCATCTTTCTTCTTGTTTGTCTGTGTCATCAGTCAGAAAGTGCTATCACATCACCCAGCATGGTTCTGCTCATGAGAGTTAGAACTGCTGATCTGTCCTCTAGTCTAAATGTCCATTCACACTAAAAGCTAAAGGACAAGGAAGTATGAAATAAAGTTGGGCCCTGTCCCAAATGGCACATCTCACGTATACTTGCGGTATTGAGGACTTACAATTACATGTGCTTGTCACCATGAAGTCCACAAGACTGTAGAACGGTGGTCCTCATCCTTTTTGACTCCAAGGCCCTCCGTTGTCCACAACAATATTTGGAGCCACTAATAAACTTTATTTTCTAAACAGTATTTGAAGGTAGATGGAGATTTTGTAAGCCATTCTATCTTTTACAGCCTTGTATTTAAAGTACATGTCAGGGCTTAGGTATCAGTTTATAAAAACTTACTTAGATTTTTACTTTGAAGCTTGCATAGCTTATAAAGAACACTCATCACTGAAGTGGAAAATTGTCAGTTTGGCTGCATGAGTCACTTATTGAATGTTTCCTTAACACCGTGTTCCATCCAGGCAGGAAAAAAAACTGTTTTTGTCTTAATCAGCTGCAAATGTGACTATTGGAAAGTGACAGAACATTTTGTTGGATGCTTTGCTTCTTATTCTGTTCCGTTCAGCTCTCACTAGCCCAAAATTCTGTATAGAGTTCCATTCCATATAGCAGGGTTTTGAAAAACATAAAAAGGACATAAATGAATAAAATAATAAAGGCGAATGTGGGACATATAATAAATCAAAATAAAGCATGCTTTATGCAAATACAGGGACATTCTGTCCAGTCATCCATGAAAGTGACACTGTGTTACAATATACAGTATGCTCACCTTCATCAGTTTTGACATGGTTTTCTTTTGTATTTTAACAGATGAATCTTCAGCTAAAGATGTCAGCAGGGTAAGTGAGGCATTGCTTTTGTTTGTGAGTGTTTTTGTGTTTGTCTAACCCTGTAAAGCCTAACAGCTGAAATAATTGTTTCAAAAAAAAAAAATTATCGTATCATATTTCATGCATCAAGATTTATGGCCCATATGGTATGATATAGTGATTTAAAAAAAACAAAAAAAAAACATGCAATTTGGTGCAGTTACTGATATTTATATGGCCGAAAATAAAATCTAATTCTGATAGCTTGTAATGTAAATCAATGAGATCTTGCATAAAAAAGTCTACATACATAAAATGCATATAAATATCAGTTGTCACTCTATATCTCCGAATGATATGGTATAGTAAGATGATATTTAAATGCTCAGTTTTATTGCATTTAATGCAATGCAATACAATGATGATTGAGAGAGCCAAAAGCCTGATGTGTCATATTTTATACTCACATTTTAACGTGACCTTTTTATTTTATTTATTTTTTTAAATATAAAAAATGATGTTTGGATAATCGAGGAAAGATAAGCTGCTTTAGTCCACCAAGTGTTCATCTTGAAATATTCATAGCAATATCAAAATTATTCTTTCAACTATATCTTGAAGAGGAATTATCTTAAATGGCCTTTTCACTTGCCAAAAAAAAAAAGTATCAATCAAATGAGAGAAGGCATGTAATAGATTGTGTACAACAGGTTTTTCAGCAAAGTTTTGAACATGTTGATAATTTAGAGGCCTTAGAAATGTGCATATCAAATATGATACAGTAGGCTTTATATGTTTAACCTTAATGCAGTCATATTGTGAGAAATCAGTGTTACAAATGAAGTGGATCTCAGGGGCGATTTTTTTTAAGTAATATGTGACCCCTTTATTAAAGTGTGTAGCGAAAGTGTGAACGTTCATGCCAAAAGGCAGCATGTCCCGAGTGGGGACAGTTATCAGGGGAGAAGCACTCATGGAATACTTCATTGAAAAGTTTCTGCTAATAATCTCTCCGCAACACACACACACACACACACACACACAGCTGCTAAATATGAAAGTGTCTGTTAAATGACAAATGACATAGAGAACACAAACCCTGTGACAGATTTATATGAGCAAAGGCAATGACCTGTTAATGAGATCATTGGCACTTTAATCGGCTGATATAGCACCAACACACACTCTGCTCCAAGCACTTAGGCCTGCTGATTTTAGGGGACAGAGATGAAGAAGTTAAACGGGGCCGGCAGAGAGAGACATACAGCAGAACACGATGGAGACAGTGTGCAGGGACGGGGTCCGAGAGGACGGGGAGGGTGGGCTGTGGAAACAAATACTTTTTGGAGAAGGACAGCAGGGACGTCACATGTTCGTCTGCATAAACAGGATGTGTAGGGAGCCGTTCCCATGGGGGAGCACCTCACACAGCCCTCATCCACCGGCCCACTCTGACCTTTCACACAGGGACAGAAATAGACATCCTCCATCCACTCTCCATTTAAAATACATAAAAGTTTGATTTAGAACTCATTTCTGTATTATACACAGACCACACATTTAATGTGAGAGGAAAAACTACAGAATTCTGTGTTAATTGGATGTTTATGATTAGGCTGTGTTCTTCTTTTGGCAAAATTTGGTCACATTTTAGTTTGGGGACCAATTCTCACTATTAACTAACTATTAACTAATTTGGCTGCTTATTAATAGTTATTAAGGTAGTTGTTAAGTTTAGGTATGGGGTAGGATTAAGGGATCTAAAATATGCTCATGCAGAATAAGGCATTAATATGTGCTTTATAAGTACTAATAAACAGCCAATATGCTAGTAATATGCATCTTAATAAGCAACTAGTTAATAGTGAGAATTGGTCCCTAAACTAAAGCCAAAATTAAGGCAGTCCAATATAATGCACCTATATAATGCATCCACCCAGAATAGAGGATGAAGCAAGACTGTTTTCAGTCTAATTAAATGGACTGTTTTACCCAGTATTTGTGGGCATTATGTATTGTTTATGCTGCTTTGTTATTTAATGCTAAATTCTATTGATATTAATGCTGAATTGAGTCTCCTGTGTGGATGGATCCCTATATAATGCATCCACCCAGAATAGAGGATGAAGCAAGACTGTTTCCAGTCTAATTAAATGGACTGTTTTACCCAGTATTTGTGGGCATTATGTATTGTTTATGCTGCTTTGTTATTTAATGCTAAATTCTATTGATATTAATGCTGAATTGAGTCTCCTGTGTGGATGGATAAATAAATATAAGTACCTCATTCAGTGGACCATCCAAAAATGTCCAACTTTCAGCAAAAAAAAATAAAATAACTATACTACCATTCAAAAGTTTGGGGCCAGTAAGATTTTTATTTATTTAATTATTTATTTATCTTTTTTCCCAGAAATTGACATTGTTATTATTATACTTTATCAAAAGTGACAGTAAAGACTTTTCCTTTTTACAATAACTGCCTATTTCAAATAAATGCTGTTCTTTTGAGCGTTCTATTCATCAAACAATTCTTTAAAAAAAAAGCATGCATAACTTCCACTACATTTCAACATTGATAACATTAAGAAATCTTTCTTGAGCAGCAAATCAGGATATTCTAATGATTTCTGAAGGATCATGTGACATTGAAGACTGGAGTAATGATGCTGAAAATTCAGCTTTGCATCACATGAATAAATTAAATTTTAAAATATATTGCAATAGAAAATTTTTATTTTAAATTACAGTAACATTTCACAATATTACTGTTTTTATGTACAAATAAATGCAGCATAAGAGACTTTTGAAGTGTATATACATTATATGATCTAAAATATGGACACCCCTTCTAATTACAATTTTTTTTTCATAATAATAGTGAAAGGCAACCTTAATACTATCTAATTAGAAGGAGGTCTCCATGTACTTCTGTCCGTATTGTGTAGTATACAGTGCATGTGCATGTGTATGTGTGTCTTTCTTGTGTCCAGCAGTACCAGGACACGAATATGCAGAGCGTCGTATATGAGCTCAACAGCTACATGGAGCAGCGGCTGGACACTGGAGGAGACAACAAACTACTGCTCTATGAGCTGTGCAACATCATCAAAACAGGTGAGAGCCTTTCTGTCTTCACACACAAACACTCACAGAGCCCAAATTACCCATGCACTTCACTGCAGTATTTGCATACTTGCAATAAACAAAATGTATTAGTATATTAGGCAACTATAATAACGAGCGTTCACACTGCCCACATAAACAGCGCAGTGTTGTGCAGCTGAAACATAAAAGGAGCGTAGCTGCCTGTAGAGAGCCGTACAGATGGAGGTGTAGTGAATCCAGGTTAAAAGGTCTAAGTACGGGTGTTCCCTGTCTCTCTCCTCCGCACACTGATGGAGCAGCGCTCAGCCTGTCACTTCCCAACCACCCACACTTCATCTGCATGCTGCAGCACTGCAGAGCGCTGGGATTCAGTCTGGCCCCCTTTTATTCAAAATATGAATAAAAACTATAATAGTATCAATGATATTAAAATAACACTGAAACATACAGTATTCTGTCCATTTATGTCATAAATTGGTTTTATGATTTCATAAATTGAATCAATAAATTGAAATAAATTCTGTGAATTTAGTGATATGGCATAATTAGAATACAGCCTGACCAATCAGGGGTGCGTTTCCCAAAAGCAACTATGGTTGTAAGTTCCGTCGTTACCGATGGAGTTCAATGGAACTAACGACCATAGTTAGCTAACCATGCTTTTGGGAAACGCACCCCAGATTAGAGGACTGGAACAACACTGTCTCCAAGTCCTGGTTAATTTCTGATCCTGGTGCAAACACCACAGATTTATTTGATTTGAATTTTTAATTTGCATTCTTTTGTTCCTTTGGGATTCTTGGATCTTCTTCAAAAGCAAGTGGCATTATATCTGTTAAAAACATTAGTCATACAGTATGTATTAGCGCTTTGCTATTTATTTTCTTCCTACAAATGCCATAATAAGATTCAGAATCTATGGGTGCATTTTCGTCCAGTTAATGATTTGGGATTGAACCATTCTGAATGTGCATGCCTAACACATGATGTCTGTGACACTTTTTAGGAGTTTTTTTTTTTTTTTTCTTCACAGCCACAAAAGCTGATGGATTTGCACTTTACTTCCTTGGAGAATGCAACAATGTAAGTATTTTCTGTTCTGGCTGAGTTAATACATGTTGAACAATGTTTAGTGGATGTTGAAGTCATTAAAGGAACACTCCACTATTTTTGAAAATAGGCTAATTTTCCAACTCCCCTAGAGTTAAACAGTTGAGTTTTACCATTTTCGAATCCATTCAGCCGATCTCCGGGTCTGGCGGTAGCACTTTTAGCTGTAGCTTAGCATAAATCATTGAATCTGATTAGACCGTTAGCATCTCGCTCAAAAATAACCAAAGTTTCTATATTTTTCCTATGTAAAACTTGACTCTTCTGTAGTTACATCGCGTACTAAGACCGACGGAAAATGAAAAGTTGCGATTTTCTAGGCCGATATGGCTAGAACCTATACTCTCATTCTGGCATAATAATCAAGGAACTTTGCTGCCGAACCATGGGTGCAGCAGGTAAATAGTGGAGTGTTCCTTTAAATACACTCAAAAAACAGTCAAAACTTTTCACACAGCTGCTCTTTATTCTTTATTATTGCTATTTTCCACATTTTTGAATACTAGTATAGTAACTACAACATTAATTTAAGGAAGCATGAAAGATGGGGGGGGGGGGAGCTATATTATATTTTAGATTCTTCAAAGAAGCCGGTTTTTGCTCGGATGCTTATAAATTAGAAATAATCTATATGTTGTCAACGAAACTAATTTCTAAGCACTGAAGCATTAGAGGTCTTTAAACTAAAAGGTTCTTAAGATCACGAGAAACATAAACGCAGCCAAGTGAGTGCAAACCTTTAACTGGTCATGCACATGTTCTGTTTGTCTCAAAATGGCCTGGAATTTCTATAGCATTAAAACACTTGAGACCCCTGCTATTTTCATTTCCTCTCCTTTATCCACTTGAGTGGTTTTATTTTAATGGCTAGTATTGTGACAGTATCAGATAACACAGTTTAAAAAGGGCTTCACTTTTGGCTGATCTATAGTTATGTGGGAAGCAATTAATGGATACACCAATTTATGAAGTTTTTATTTTTAATATTTATTTTTGTTATTTTGTTATTTTCATTTTATATAACTGTCAGTTTTATTGGATACCACTAATCATAATTGTAATTACTTTGCATCTTAAGACAGTATTACATTTTTTTTCAGGCAAGTGTTGTATGTTAGCAATGGTAGGAACATATAATGAGAGTTGTAAAGTACCCTAAATAGACATGTATTATTGTTACATTGACCAATCAGGACAGTTTCCTTAACGTCATGCTGTTTTGTTGATGTTGCTTTCTCTGTCACAGAGTTTATGTTTGTTTACTCCGACGGGGGCAAAAGAGGGGCTTCCTGGGCTCATCCCCTCTGGTCCCATCACATTTGGGACCACCATTGCCGCTCACGTTGCAAAGACACGCAAGACACTACTTGTAGAGGACATCATGGGGGTGAGCCACATGCTGTTTTCCTGTGTTCAGTAACACAGACCATTCAGCTGTATGCTTGAGGCTACACTTTAGCAACAGTAAAATATGTTGTAAATAAATCCTTCATACTTTATTTTCAAAAGAAATCTGTTGGTGCCTTTGCATGTCGAAATAGCTGTATAGAGTATCAAAGAAATTTTTCACATAATGCTCACATACAGTACAGCTTTGTAAACGTTTGGTTACAAATAAAAGGTGATTTAAATTAGAAGGCCAGGAACCATAAATATCCCAGGCTAGCTTTGAATTTACAGTCATAAGTTATTTTAATACATAATAAAATGCATAGAATAAAAAAAGAAATGCTCATTCAGTATTTGTAAATATTCTAATTATTAACACACTGAGAAAAAGAAGTGGCTACAGAAGCTCTACTGTTTGTAAAAAATAAAAATAGCATGTGTGTTATGATGTGTTTCCAGTTTAAATAACAAATGTTATTAAAACTTTATTTATTAAGACTTTTAGGACTGATAAGGAGTGTTTGAAGAACAGCACATCCATGATTGATGAACGTATGTACTGTATATATAAACTCCTCCCCCTGGACTGGCCTGAATCCCTGTGTGCTCTGTTTCTCCTGCAGGACGAGAGGTTCCCTCATGGCACAGGGCAGGACTCAGGGATCCGTGTACATTCTGTTTTGTGTCTACCCATCCTCACCGCCATCGGAGACCTCATCGCTATCCTGGAGCTGCACCGGCACTTGGGCAGAGAGCCCTTCAACCTCAGCCACCATGAGGTACTCTAAGGGAGAAAGTGCTGGTATTTGTTACACGTCTGCTCTCGATTTATTTAGCCAGGCTGCACATTGTCCTCAGGACTAGTAGTAGTAAGGAATAGTCTAGGTTGTGTTGAATGTAATCTATGGACAACATCTGTGGGAAACCTCAATTATCACATTTAGTGTTTTGACAGATGAGAAATTCTCATAGAGCTATACACGTATAACTTATTATTATCATTTTTAATTTCACAATCGTGTGAATGAAAAATGGACTGATACTGAGTCTGATTTCAATCCATCCATTCAGATAAACCCTCCCCTTAACTGCCCATAAAAACAAAGCGAACTGTAATTGGTCGCTTGACATGTTGGTCAGTCTCTTCCTGTCTAAAGGTGCGGCCACATTTACTGTAGTTAAATCTTTGCAGGGAGAATCTATGCAATCTGGAATTTCATGTGAGAGGTAAAAGATTTCCCCACGTAGCAGTTTTTAGCGGATTCGCCACGGTGACCAACACTGCTTGTTTTGAAAGTGACTTCTGTATGAGCTGGGTTTTATGCATCGCTACACTATTAACAATAGACAATGAACCTTTTTTGCCCACAAAATACCACAAATTTTTCGCTAATGTGACCACATCTTAAATGGCTGGTCCTCTCTTGATCAGTACAAGTTGCAATATGTTACAGACCCTATATGCCATCTAGCAGTTCACAATACATTATAAAAGCAAAGTACATGATACAATGTTTGGTTCATTCCTGTGAATAATTCTGTTTGTGTTATTACATAGTTTCGATGACTTCTTCTCCCACTGTCCTGGAGAGTTTAGCAAACACACCTGCCTGTAATATTCAAGACTTAGGTTATGTCCAAAAATGCCTCCTATTCCATTATATAGTGCAGGGAGCAATTTGTAGTGGTGTCCAAAACTATAGTGGATGCTATCAAGTGCACTCATTCATAATGCGCCTCAACAATGAGTGAACAACTGATGTACACTCAACAGCTAGGCACTTCATAATACACACGCACTGTAAACATTGCTCCAAATGAATTCATTGGTCTGTATTCGTGCAGTAATGTCCCAACTTTGCAGGACAGTGGCCCTCTAGGACCAGAGTTACCCATCTCTCTATGTAGTAAATAGCAATAATAAAGAATGTGTAATTGTATTCGGTCTTTGTTTATATTCAACTGTCAGGTGAGGTACACAGAACTATGAAGTTAAGTGTTCATGGAGTGCTCAAGGTGCATGTATTGTGTCTTTGGCTAATTGTGCCCTATTTTTTAGGTTGCAACAGCAAATTTGGCCTGGGCATCTGTAGCCATACACCAAGTCCAGGTGAGTATGTTTGAGAAAAACAATGTCAAGTCAAGTTAAGTCACCTTTATTTATATAGTGCTTTATACAATACAGATTGTGTCAAAGCAGCTTTACAGTGTTAATCAGGAAAAACGTGTGCTGATAACGCAAGAGGACAACAGAAAACAGTCAGTTTATCAGTTAAAGTCAGTTCATCTTTGATTAGTGATATCATCGTCCAGCTCAGTTCAGTTCTCTTCCAATAGTGTCTGTGCAGTCAAGTCAACAATGTTGCCAGAAATGGTGTCCCTAACTAAGCAAGCCAAAGGCCATAGTGGCAAGGAACCAAAACTCCATCGGTAACAGAAATGGAGAAAAAAAACCTTGGGAGAAACCAGGCTCAGTCGGGGGGCCAGTTCTCCTTTGGCCAAATGAAACCAGCATGGTGTGGTTTAATTCCAGGCTGCAACACAGGTCAGATTGTGCAGAGGACTCGTTTGGTTCTCGTGGTCTTGAGTCGATGGCTGTCGAGGTGATGAGGTCTTCACTGGGGCTCTGTCTATAGGGCTCGTCTAGTTGACATGGTCTCTACTGATATTCAGGGCTGTAGAGGTCATCTCTAGGTGCTGATCCACCATCTGGACTGGATCCAGGTGACTGCAGTGACCATCTGGTCTGGATACGGACTGGATCTTGGTGGCTACAGTGACCTCGGAATAAGAATAAAACAGACTAATATTAGCATAGATGTCATTCTTCTTACAAGGTAACAAATACATCGGGTGTTATGGGAAGTGTTCCGGTTGACCTAATTAATGCAGCCTAACAATCCTTTAACGGATTTGAATTATAGAAAAGTGATTGTGTGTTATGTGTCATACTTCCTGGTAAAAACTTTAGCTGCTGCATTTTGGGCCAGCTGGAGTTTGTTTATTAAGCGTGCAGAGAAACCACCCAATAAAGCATTACAATAATCTAACCTTGTGGTCATGAACGCATTAAATATCATTTCTGCATTTGACATTGAGAGCATAGGTCATAATTTAGATATATTTTTAAGATGGAAAAAATGCAGTTTTACAAATGCTAGAAACATAACTTTTAAAGGAAAGGTTGCTATCAAATAGCACACCTAGGTTCCTAACTGATGACGAAGAATTGACAGAGCAGCCATCAAGTGTTAGACAGTGTTCTAGCGTATTACATGCAGAGGATTTTGGTCCGATAATTAACACCTCTGTTTTTTCAGAATTTAGCCGTAGGAAATTACTAGTCATCCAGTTTTTTTTATATCAGCTATGCATTCTGTTTTGCGAATTGGCATGTTTCATTGGGCTGCGAAAAAATATAGAGATGAGTATCATCAGCATAACAGTGAAAATTAACACCATATTTCCTGATGATATCTCCCAAGGGTAACATGTAAAGCATGAAAAGCAACAGTCCTAGTACTGAGCCTTGTGGCACTCTATACTGCACTTGTCAACGATATGATACTTCTTCATTCACTGCTACGAATTGATGATGGTCAGATAAGTATGATTTGAACCATGCCAATGCAATTCCAAAAATGCCAACATAATTTTCTAGTCTACTCAAAAGAATGTTGTGGTCGATAGTGTCAAATGCAGCGCTAAGATCCAGTAGCACTAATAGAGAGAGACAACCTGATAAGAGCAGTCTCAGTGCTATGATATGGTCTAGATCCTGACTGGAAATCCTCATAGATATCTTTTTTTTTTGACAGAAAAGGGAAATTTGAGATCGGTCTGTAATTAACTAATTCTCCAGGATCAAGTTGTGTTTTTTTTTTTTATGAGAGGCTTCATAACAGCCAGTTTGAAGGTTTTTGGGACATATCCTAATGTCAATGATAAATTAATAATATTCAGAAGAGGATCTATGACTTCTGAAAGCACCTCTTTTAGTAGCTTAGTATTCTTTCTGTCCTATAGCAGAGAATGAGTGGAATTGTTTAAAATCATGCTTGACAGTTAGGAGTCCTGTTGCATAAGCTGTTTGATTTGGTTGTACACACGTGTTTTGATTTCTGTAATCCACTGTGTACATGGACTAGGCTGCTGGTGGGCCCAGTGTAAGCAACCAGACCACACATTAAACACACCCTTGTCTCAGGAGGTGCAATTAATGACAATGCAGTCTTGTTTGTACATAAACGGTTGTACACTGTGAATGACACCACTATGGGTTTTAATGTCCCTGTGCATCACAGGGCTCTTTGGGAATAACTCTTTCTGTGGGACACAAACCTCAGAGGTTAGGGAGCCATCAGAACATTGTAGTGATGAGCAGACAAGATGGACCATAAGTAACACATTTTAATAAAAGGCCTAAAAAATTTTATAAAAAAAAAAACTTATGTCGTAAATGATGACAGAATTTTCATTTTTAGTTGAAGGACTTCTTTAGAGATCAAAATTCATCCAAAAATGCCAATTCTCATATTTACATTTACATTTAATCATTTAGCAGATGCTTTTATCCAAAACAACTTAAAAATGAGGACAATAGAAGCATTCAAACCAACAAAAGAGCTGTGACTGTGACAAGTCACAGATATTCTAACGCAGTACACATACTATATAGTAAGTTTTTTTTTGTTTTTTTTGTTATAATAAATAAAAAGAATAAAAGTAGATAGAAAAGAAATAGGATACATAGATCTTGTGTTAGAGGGTCAAGTTATTATTATGTATTATTATTATATATATATATACTGTATATATATAATAGCCAGTGGTTGTTTTGTAAGCAGACATCAGTATGTCTTGAATTTTATGCGAGCGGCTATTGGTAGCCAGTGCAAATTGATGAATTCTCTTGTCATCTTCTAACCCTCATGCTGCTCGAATTACATAAGAATTTGTATTTCTGCGTAGGACCTAGCAAAATGTCCAAGCAGATCATACCACATACAACAAGTAGATGGAAATGAAGCATTCAAGCTTCAAAAACAAAAAAGTAGTCCATATGACTTATAAACTATGTCGGTAACACTTTAGAATAATGGTCCGTTGTTAACAAGTAACTATGCACCAAAGGATGGTTGTTCAAACTTAAACATAGAATAATAAAAAAAATAATTAATTTAAAAATGTTAATAATTAGGAAGTGATTGAATTAGTTCACAATTATGAACTCTAGTTTGTGCCAGTTCAGTATGTCTCCGATCCCAAAAGACCTATACCTTTAATGACAGTAGGCTGGGGAGGACTTTTCTTGAATATAAATAATGATGTTCTCTTGACAAAAACAATTCACATCCTTAATGAAGGCATCGACTGCATTTATATTGTGTTAAGCACAAAACCGCATATTCCAGATTACAGTGTCTGGTAAAATATCACTAGTGCCTCACACAAATGTATGTGACAGATATAAAATATGTTAAATAACTTATTAAATTACTTAGTAATTACTGAGTGGTTAAGGTGTTTTTCACTTTAAAATAATGGGGCGGTACCTTTTCAAAAGGTACACCTTTGTACCTTATTTACCACTAAAGGGTGCATATACAGTACTGTGCAAAAGGCCATTAGTCTTTTCACCCACAAAAAATGGTTTTAAGCCAGTTATTTCTATCTTTTGCAGAAGTGTGCCAGTAGGAATTATCAGTTTACATTTCCAAGCATTCCTTTTGCCATTAATCGTAATAATCCAGCGAGATTTTTGCATGTTTAGGAGTCTGACGGCAACCAGTGCCGTTGTCAGACTCCTTGTGCATACAAAAATCTTACTGGATTATTACAATTAATGGCAAAAGGAATGTTTGGAAATAGTGCTGGCAGACTACAGCATAGAAATAACTGGTTTAAAACCATTTTTTGTTGGTGAAAATAGTAATGGCCTAAGACTTTTGCACAGTATTGTACCTTAAAAATACATATTAGTACCTATATGGTAGAGATTTATATCTTTTGAAAAGGTACCACCCCACTGACAGCTTTTGTACCTTTTTTTCTGAGAGTGTGCTATATTTTTGTGTATTATCAGTGTTTTACACTGAGATTATAGATCACAACTTTCTAAAAATATCTATACAAAGACATGTCAATTTAAACACTGACTTGCCGTGATTGCTGTCTTCAAGCTTCTTGTTCATTTTTCACTCACAGGTCTGCAGAGGTCTTGCCAAACAGACGGAACTCAATGACTTTCTCCTAGATGTGTCAAAGTAAGCAAGTTTATGCATGAAAAAGTCTCTTGAATCTCATGAATCTCTTGAAAAAGTCTCATGAATCTCATGAATCTCTTGAAAAAGTCTCATGAATCTCATGAAATGTGTCAAGAACATGTCCAGGTCTTCATAACAAAATCATGATAAAAATAAATGTTACTTAAATAAAACTAAGCCTGTTAAGCCTACATTATTTTCATGAAAGTTAAGCACTTTTTTTTTTCACATTACAGTAAGAAAAAATTTAATTATTATGAAAAGAATGTCACACTGCAAAACTATCTAAATTTTTCCATAATACTGAAATGTTTCAATGTTTATTGGCATTTAACATTATAATAAATAGCCAATGTTATGTATGAAGAATATATATATATATGCATTTGTGTTATACTGTGTCTTTGTATCATATGGTTATCTCTTTAAAATAACAGGTCTTTCCCTCCTTTTCGATTTTAAACAGAACATACTTTGACAACATAGTGGCAATAGATTCTCTACTTGAACATATCGTGGTGAGTAGGTTCTCCTTCTCTCAGTAAGGTCACATGTTTGGTCCTGAGGACAAACATGCTGTTCTTCTGTCACTCATCTTTGTCACGATCAACACCAAAGAACATTTGTTTGCCATGTTCTGTGCTCACCCCACCAGCCTTGGGCTTGTTGTTAAATATTCTTTTTCTCATTTACGCACAAGTTTGTGTTCTCTAGTTCTCACCTACACAAACACAAATATTCATACACTCCAAGTATCAGATATCTGGCCCCCTCGGGCTCTGTCCCCTCCTTCGTGTTGAGAAAAGCAGCACAGGAAGTGATGCAAATAGGTCAGGGAGAGGGCAGGAAGTCAGCCTGACACGACTCCAGCATCTCGCTGAGCTCTTGGCATCCCTCTCAGGGATTCACTCAGATTTTTCCAAACACATACTTCCAAAAGCGGAGGTAATATTTAAGTAGTTAAATGAATAAAATGTCTTTCTTAGTTTGAAGCGATTTCTCGCTCGTCAGCAGTTTCATAAAGCATGTTTATCTTGGAGTGGAGAAGACACGATGTGCCACAAGGTTGTGAAATCTTGAGGGAAGGACAAGTTCCTCAGTTGCTAGTCTCACACAGACACATGTAGTGGTTGACCGTTTTTTTCAGTGGCTAACATATTGCATATATAATAGAATTTAAGACCTAAGTCACACAACATTTACTCAAAATGTACTATATATTTAAAATCTATTTATTATCTATCAACAAGGCTTGATTATATGAAAGACTTGAATAACATAACCAAACTAATTCTGGTTATCGATGCTGATAAACTGCAGATTAACCACACTTGCACAGTAATGTTGTTCAAATGAATTCTTCAGCAAACATGCACATGTTGCATTCTGTCATGGGGAAATGTCATTAAGGAAATGCATGTTTATTTGTGTTTCAGATATATGCAAAAAACCTGGTTAATGCAGACAGATGTGCGCTCTTCCAGGTAGATCACAATAATAAAGAGCTGTACTCTGACCTGTTTGACATCGGGGAGGAGAATGAAGGGAAACCCGTCTTTAGGAAAACCAAAGAAATTAGGTGAGCATCCAGAAATCCTCACTCAGTCATATTTGAGTCTTTACATCCTCGTAAACTACCAGCTGAATGTGTTTGTTTTTGTGTATTTATATTTATTTTTAGATTCTTTCATAGAAAAAAAAGAAAGTTACGTAAAGTCACAAAATTCAGAATTGAATCTCTGACTACAGCAAATGTAGTACAGCAGGGTGTACAACACACTCTGAGATAGTTTACCGCATCACCAAATCCCTATGGAAACTTCACAAAACCTATCAGGACATGTCTTGCACATATTTCAGCTCAAAATCAAAAGTAATATAAGTGCATTATATTTTCCATGAAGAAAATGCTGCCTGTTGTAGGACCAATAAATAATCTTTGCATTGTATTATGATTTTCAAGACAAATAAGCATTCCTTCCACCCTTCGCATAACTGTAATACAAAAAAATAATTTTATTTAATAGAAAAAAAAAATTATGAGAATAAAGAGAATTAAAAAACTCAAAAGTGAAATATTGTCATTCTATAGTAATGACAATTTGGGGCAAAATGTCCTCAGTGGTGATGCCACAGTGCAAAAAATCATAATGGTCATAAACATTGGATTTGTTTTGAATTTTCTTTTGATTTTTAAGGTGAGATGTGACTGGATGTTTGTTTTCATCCCTAAATATCGGAGTCTAAGTATACTTCATACATTGGTAACTGACATTAAACACTCACCCCCAGGTTTTCTATAGAGAAAGGAATAGCAGGCCAGGTGGCGAGAACAGGAGAAGTTTTGAATATTCCGGATGCCTATGCAGACCCCCGTTTCAACAGGTAATAATTATTTTCATTTTTCATGTCAAAACATACGAAATTTCTTTAAGCAACTTTGTTAAAGAGGTCATATGATGCGATTTCAAATTTTCCTTTCTCATCGGAGGGTTACAAGCTCTTGGTGCATAAAGAAGATCTGTAAAGTTGCAAAGACTAAAGTCTCAAATCCAAAGAGATATTCTTTATAAAAGTTAAGAGTCAGCCACGCCTACCTAAAACGGCTCGTGGTTACACATTAAGCAGTTAAGGCTGGATGAATGACCAAAGTAACATACAGTAATACAAAATTTTGCACTGTGACACCTTGAGCTCTTTAGACAACTGTTAGAATTGTAAAGGTGCAGTGTCATGGCACAAACCCTGTCATTTTTTAAACCAAAATTAATAGACAGAAAGAAAAAAAAAGAAAGAAATAAAGTATAAATTCTTATCACCATGATTTAAAAAATCTCATAATAGTCATAATATGTTATTTAAAAACTATTTGTGACCCTGGACCACAAAACCAGTCTTAAGTCGCTTGGGTATATTTTTAGCAATAGCCAAAAAAAAACATTGTATGGGTCAAAATTATCCATTTTTCTTTTATGCCAAAAATCATTATTATATTAAGTAAAGATCATGTTCCATGAAGATATTTTGTAAATTTCCTACCGTAAATATATCAAAACTTAATTTTTGATTAGTAATATGCATTGCTAAGAACTTCATTTGGACAACTTTAAAGGTGATTTTCTCAGTATTTAGATTTTTTTGCACCCTCAGATTCCAGATTTTCAAATAGTTGTATCTCGGCCAAATTGTCCTATCCTAACAAACCACACATCAATGGAAAGCTTATTCATTCAGCTTTCAGATGATATATAAATCTCAATTTCGAAAAATTTACCCTTATGACTGGTTTTGTGGTCCAGGGTCACATTTGTGCATTATGGAATTGTTCATTTATATTTACAAAATTAGGGTAAAAATGTTTTGGTGAGCACGTGCATGATATGGGTGTATTGTTGAGTTGGACATGTGGACACACAGTGGTCTGTGGTTGTAGGTTTTAAAGTGGACATGTCAGATAAATGGTGCTTCTAGGTTTGTGTAAATCTGCAATAAGGTGATTATGTTAAACCCTGATGAGCCAACGTTAGAAACCGTTGTGTGTTTAACTCAATCCTATACAAGCACTATGCTTGTTCAGCTCTGTGTGTGTGTGTGTGTGTGTGTGTGCACTGGTTTGGGGGGTTTATGAGGACACAAATTTGTATAATGGCATGGTTATGACACAGGTATTACAATATGAAAGTGGTTTATGAGGACACTACCTGCGTCCCCGTAATTCAAAAGGCTTAAAAAAAAACATACTAAATGGTGTTTTTTTGAAAATCTAAAAATGCACAAAGTTTCCTGTGAGGGGTAAGTTTTAAATACAGTTTGTACTGTATAAAAACCATTACGCCTATGGAGAGTCCCCGTAAACCACCAGTACCAACATGTGTGTGTGTGCATTTCTTTGTCTTCTATTATGCTTTTCACAGAGAAGTAGATCTCTACACTGGCTACACGACGCGGAATATCCTGTGCATGCCCATAGTCAGCCGCGGGACTGTGATTGGTGTTGTACAAATGGTCAACAAGCTGGGAGGAAGTGCCTTCACTAAAACTGATGAGAACAACTTTAAGATGTTCGCCGTCTTCTGTGCTTTGGCCTTACACTGTGCAAATGTAAGTGTGCAGACCTGGAGTCTAATAAAACATCCGTTGGTCACAATAACACACCTTCTAGAGAATGGGAATGTTTGGAAGAAACAGGCTTAGGAGTGTCTACGAGAGATTTCCGACACTTGGTCCTTTGTGGGGTCACACAGTGTTGCCAGATTGGGTGGATTTCTGCCCAGTTGGGTGGTTTTGAATTTGATTTTGTAGGGTTAAAATTGGTTTGGGTGGATTTGGGCTGGTTTGGGATCAGTTTGGCAATTTTCTAATTGGTTAACAAACAAAACCCAAGTGTGCATGTACTCCATCTAATCAGTCATCATGACGTTACTAAACTGCACTACACTGCAGAGTCGTTGTTGATGTGGACCAGCCCGCACTTTTAGCCAATCAAGAGCGATAGCAGGCAGATGTTTTGATTAATGAGTGACGGGTTTTTAGCGCAATACGGTATCAAATTTCTTGTAGCTGTATATTCAAGCAATTGCTATGCCAAAGTGGCATAAATATAAGTTGTAGCTACAGTAAAGAGAGGGAGAGTGACCCAACTCTCAAACCATGGATTGTTCCATTTGAAGTTAAAGGGCAACATGAAGGTGAGCACATTATTAATATTGCCGTTCATTATTTGAACATGAATGACACATGTTCGGCCGTTATGGTGTATAGATAGATAGATAGATAGATAGATAGATAGATAGATGTCCATTTAGATAAATACAACCACAATATTTTCAAAGGGTTAGATATTTTGCATCTATATTTTGCATCTGCGTAGACACATGGCGTGTATGTGTATGCATGTGTTTGTGTATAGATGTATCACCGGATAAGACATTCAGAGTGCATTTACCGGGTGACGATGGAGAAGCTTTCGTACCACAGCATCTGCACATCAGAGGAGTGGAAGACCCTCACACATCTCTCCCTCCCTTCAGCCATATATAAAGAGATCGAACTGTGAGTTTACACTCTCATACGTCAAAGATCACTGTTACATACATAATGGCTTTTAGTAATATGGTTACTTAGTAGTTATTTAATTTTGCAACTCTAAAACCTGATTGGACAAGCCACACTGAATAGCTGTAAAATAGGTACTGAAAGTATGTGACCAAACATTATTTGTCTATTTATTAGTTTAGGTGAATTAGAAAATATATTGGTTGGTGTAAATATATTGATTTGGTGTTATTTATTGGTTATAAATATATTGGTTTGGTGTTATTTTCATGTGTAGACAAGTAAACATTACATAAGAGTGCAGGTGTAATCAGGATGTATTGAACACTTTTTTAGCTCATATTTCACCTGTGCAGATTTGAATTGCAAACAAACTGTGTCATATTTCTGTCTAAGGTTTCACTTTGACATTGCTCCTTTTGAGGAACTTTGGCCTGCAATATTTGTATACATGGTTCACAATTCATGTGGAAAAAACAGGTAAGAATGTGTCGATTTTTAAGAGCTCTGTGTGTTTTGTCACAACGTATCCTATAAGAGAAATTAATGCATATGTAGTAGAAATAGCAGTGAAGGAAATTATTTGTTTGGAATAAAATGTCTTGCTAAGGCTAAATGCATAGACAGTGTGTTATCCTAAATGAAAACAATTAAATCAGATTTGTACATTTTGCATAATTCCTTAGTAAACTAACTTTTAAATTAACTAAAATCTTTTTTGGGGCAAAATTGTTGGTGCTGCAAATGACAGGTGAATCATTTGCATACAAAATATATTTGAATAATTTGTGTAACTGTTTAAATTGCTTTTACTGAGATTAATGATGATGATATAATTTACATTTAAGAATGATTTTCGTATTTTAGGATTAGATCTGGAACCAGGGTAGAACGATAAAATACAGTGGGTACGGAAAGTATTCAGACCCCCTTAAATTTTTCACTCTTTGTTATATTGCAGCCATTTGCGCATTTGAAAAAATAAAATAAAATAAGCAACCTTAATATAACAAAACTTTTAAACCTGTTGTCTTAATAAAAATCAATCCTTTGGAAATAAAAGCGCCCGTAGATGAAGAAACACTCATGTACAGTACTGCTTTGACAAGGCAAAGGTGTACAATCACACTTCCTTTGTGTAATTAAAGCTTTGAGCAGGAGAAACTGTGTCGCTTCACTATGTCAGTGCGGAAAAATTACAGACGAGTTCCATACCACAACTGGAAACATGCTGTGACGGTGGCACACTGCATGTACGCCATCCTGCTAAAAACCACTGGGATCTTCACTGAGCTTGAGGTCAGTGTCGTTCTCATAATAGCGTTTACAGTGAACTTATAAAAAATGCATCTCACATCAGTGAGAAAAATGCTAAACTACAAGCCTCAAACAAAAAGTCAACTACAGTAACTGAAGGGTGCAGCAGCTATCATACACTTACTAAATTCATTCCTCCATTTTTGGTGGGAGTCATTCCATTTAAGAAAGGTTTATTTTGTTGACTGACCATGTGTAAGTAGCAAACCGCAATCCCACAATGGCTAGAACTCGCCAGCAATGCCTTTCAGCAAATCACTCGGGGCAAATGTCATGTGACATTTTTAATATTCATGAACCAACAAGTGCCTGGCGCAGTGTGCTGAACAACAAAGACCCAGTTATTGAACATTATTATGACAAAGATACAACTGTGACTTATGTTGGTCCCACTTTATGTGGCATTTCTGTACTAACATATAAATTAATAATTTTATGCAATACACTTATTGTGTACATACATGTTTTTACATTGTACATTTACTTAAAAAATACCTGCATGTAATTACATCTGTAATCAATTTCTGTAATCACATCTAATTATACGGTTGACTCTACCCTTTAACCCACCTTTAAAAGTAACCATACCATCAAACCTGTACCTGTTTTCCATATATATATAATTAATTACATAATATACTGTATATATAATTCATTACAGTGCTTGGTAGAAAAACAAGGAGGATGACATTAAACATAAATATAAATATATTTACTAGGACAAATATAGAATAAACACTAATTATAGTGAGAAACATAGTTATAGGAGCAAAAGCCATTAACTAAACTTTTTCCCTACTTTTTTGAAGGAAAAATGAGCTTGTTACTGATAAAGCTACCCTATGTTTAAAACAAATGAGTTAAGGCCTGTTCACACCAAACACAATAACTGTAAAGATAACTATAACTATGAAGTTTTAATAATCGTTTTAATTTCGTAAGAATAGTGAAGTCTACACCACAGCAGAGGAACGAATCCCTTCCAGAATGTTTTTTTACAGCTTAGAAACGATACAATTTCAACAGCCATTCAGAATACAGTTTAAAGAGCTTGAACATTTAAAGCTTTAGACAACTCAACTTCAGCGCACAATTATAGTAAACAGAACATTATTGTCTGCTGGTGTGGATGCTAATATAGTTAACAATATAGTTACCTTTGTAGTTATAATTCTTGGTGTAAACCGGTCCTTTACTGTCACTGACTTACTTCTCACACAGAGGAAAGGCTTGCTGATTGCCTGCTTATGTCATGACCTGGACCACCGCGGCTACAGTAACAGTTATCTGCAGAAGTTTGACCATCCGCTGGCTGCTCTGTATTCCACATCCACCATGGAACAGCATCACTTTTCACAGACGGTGTCCATCCTGCAGGTAAAGCTCCTACACACTGTGCCAGCTCAGTACGATAGTTTCAAACACGCTAAATGTGAATGCGCACTTATTTGCGTACATTTTAACTGTACTGTTAAATGTTAACTGTTAAAACTGGATAAAGCCAGTTTCAAAATTAACGTTTCATTTTGTTGGCAGATTAAAGTCCAGTTTTGGGGAAAGTTACTTTTAACAGTAATTACAACATTGCGTTACTCCATAAAAAAGTAACTAAAGTAATGCAAAGTAATGCATTACGTTACTTTTGCGTTACTTTGTGTCACCTGAGCTGGGCTTGCTTATTTAATTCTAATCACAAAAAATCCAAAAGTTATATTTTTGGTAACTATAAAGGCCCCTTCACACCAAAAGAGAAATTAATAAGCCTCAGGCTAAATGAAATGCCTCTGTACTTATTTCTCTCAATAAGGAGAAAAGAGATGTGTCAGTGAAGAAATGTGAAAGCAAAGTAACTTGTGTTACTTATTTGAAAAAGTAACTTAGATATTTTCTTGTAAATGTAAAAGTAATGCATTATAGATATAGATAGGAATAGACAGTAAATTACCTAATACTGTAATGCTGTAAACTTCATTTTAAGAAAATGGACTTTAAAAATATGTATTGTAATTCAAATCTAGAGACACAAATGTATAAAATTAATAAAACTGAAAGACTTCAAAGTGTATTGTTGATGTTTTCTTTCCACTAGTCTGAAACCAAAATCATAAAATTGATAAAAATGTTTTTGCCTGTAGTGCCTTGCATGCAGAAACCATTACATTGTCTTTGAATGTCATATTGACAAAAGCTGACATACAAGGAAGCATTCACGTGGTATTGCCATTTATTTACAAATCAGGTATCGGTGCAAACATGCCCCCAAAATTTGTGCCGAATGCATTTCAGATCCCCATGTTACAGGCCAGTTGTAGAGGACTGTAGATCATCACTCCAACAGTCTGATTCAGCTTTTTTTAAATGCCAGAAGTGCACTTCACTGCACCACACGTGTGGATATATTCCCAGTTTTAACAACATTTTCCTTTAATCATATTTTGATGAATTACTGCTGCTGTCTTTTAAATTAAATTCTGTTTACTGCCTGCTTTTCATTGGTGGTAATAACGTCTCGGTTACGTATGGTAACCCTCGTTCCCTGAAGGAGGGAACGGAGACGTCACGTCGGATGACCGACGAATTGGGATCTCGCTTAGAGAGACCAATCTACTTCGAGTGTAAACTAAACGAACCAATGCACATTGGCATACGACTATTGCATCCAGCTGCCGCTGATCACAGCTTGAGTATAAGTAGGCAGCAGGTGCAATGCATACCAGGTTTTCGCT